TAGTCATAAGCTTTTATAGAGCCTCTATAGGGTACCCGAGAAAAGTCTCCTTTTACTTGTTAGAGCACTTCGTCGAATTTCATCTACAGGTGTCCATTCGGTCTACTGAACTGCTCTGACTAGTCTTTCCAGCTGTCTTTTGCTCTGACTAGTTACTGATCGTCAGAAAGTTGTCCACTTTCAGATCTGACGAGCTTGGGCAACCGGTGAGGAATCGTACGGCTAAAGAGGAAGGATCCATTCGATGAGATCGTCACTTTACCAACGCATATGCAACATTCCAGTAAGGAACGGCATCCAGGTGAGTTTCGAAGCGCTTGACAGTTAAAATCCTTTCTCGGGGTTTACTGGGTCATTGTTTCAAAAATTTTGGAATGCTGGTAAAGCCTCACCTAGCATGAATTCTTTCTGATACCAAAAAAGGATGCTCGCGCAGCTACGCCCACCGGTAAAATCAGGCCCGATCCCGCTCTGGACCAGGTTCTCTTCCCTGGGATCCTAAATCGGACTTTTCAAGTCTCGATTGCTTACTAACAAACTGACCGATTAGCTGTGGTTTCTGACTTGTGCTATGGTTAACACTTAAAACAAGGGAATAAATCTAGTGATGGAGCGTAGATCCCCTTCTTCGTAGCCCACACAACCTGCTTCTTCCTCAGCTTCAGCCCGAGGTCCCCCTAGCAGTTTTTCTAGAACTCGTCGACGTGGCGACAGGAGGAGTTCTGCATTGAGTAGAGAAATTCCTACCTCCTCCTGACGGCACTTCCATACTTTTCGTACAGATGGTCCTTCCAATTCGACAACGAGGGGCCTTATGATATTCCTAACCCCGTCCATACAGTCAGCTCGAATTTTACATTTGAATCAGCTTTATTCCTCCATATACGGCGTACTTCGCCATTTCCTACAAGTCCTCCCTTACCCATTTCGCGTGATCCTGACCCTCATTGAAAATCAGACGCTCATAGCTGTCAGTACGATATTTTGAAAGCTGAAAATGTTCTGTTCTTTTTCTTCAACCATGTGTAATAAAGACACTGGGTATTTGCTCACCATCAGAAGAGCAGCGTTTTCCGTTGGTAGAACTGATACTCTGCTGTAAGATTACCTCAGAAGATAGTCACTGCCACTTTCTCCGGTTGAAGAAGGGGGGGGGGGGGAAGATAAGGGAAGGAAGGCGACTCTGGGCGGGATGTGGCCATATCCACTCTTTTTTGGGTAATTCTGAGTATCACTGTCTCGATGAGAGGGGGCAAGCTAGCAGGGTTACCAGCAGCAGGCAGGTGTTCTCTAGGTGCATGTTCTATGTGGCAGGACATTCTGATCACCAGTACCTTGTTGCTTCTTCTCTAGCTGCTCTACACGACTGTTGTATTCCAGGCACGGATGCGCCGGCAGATGATTGTCCTTATGAACACCAGCTAAGAGTGGACGAATGTGCAGAACCAATTCTGCTGTTCCTACATGAAGTAAACGCCATCTATTTCGAGAACTCGAGTCTTCTCTCCGACAAAGAAACGTGGGTTATTGATCAGTTTTATTGATTCGTAAGGCTTAAATTGTTACCAGCATTTGCAGTATTTATTTCCTCCCAGGAAACAAGGAGAATCATTGCGAAAAGAGGCCAGTTTAAGGTTTTTCCCGTTTCAGACAAGTGAAGATCAGCAAAGGATGTGAACTGATGCGTGAGTACCAAATATGCGTACAGGGCGCTTCAACGTCGTGCAATCCTGACGAGGGTGTGCAAGCATGGAGACAGGTGGGTGTGCCATGTATGGATTTGCAGGATTGGTGTTCCTTCATACAAAGGACCCATCATCTTAATCGGAGGGTCACAACGCGACAAAAGCGGCGTCGCGCGCGGCAGCTAGGACGAGTACTGGTCGCCGCCCAATACGTGACCTAATTTCTGCTGTGCGCCATGACGTGCACATCCTAACAGCTACGCGACGATTTGGGATTTAGGGAGGGGGGATCCAATATTAGCTCGACGTCAATGCCCAGCTTCTTCAGAAATGTTCCGCTTTGATGGCATTTTGCGCCATGCATTCTCTTTCCATTCAGATTCGTAGCGACGTTTGAATGCGTATTCAGTCTTTGTAGAGATATATGCGGTATTGCGAAGGTTCAGGTCAGCACTTTAG